TTGCAAAGTTAATGGGAATAGTCTATTGACCAGCTGTCATGTTGTTTTACAATGCATACTGCTTTAGCGTCATGCAACAAATAAAAACTCTCTAGACTACAATAAAAACTCTCTAGACTACATTAACTGGTAGACACAAATAAAAACTCTCTAGACTACATTAAGTATCCGGACATTCAGGCAGCCACAAATATTAAGTGCCCTTTTAAATGGCTGCCTCCGCCACTTCACGTTGCTTCCGGCGCCTTTGAAGCCGTGGTTTGAAGTGAAGTGCAGAAGCAAAAGGAAACTTTCAAATTTTGAAAGGACTGCTTTGTTGGAAAGCAAGATAGTTATTGGATCAGCTTTTGTAGAATTTTTGCCTCAGCTGTCCGTATTGTTGAGTTAGACGGCTTTGTTTATGATAATAGGTGCAGTTTGGCTACGGACCTTGCCAAAATGTCTCCTTCTTCACCCTGAATGTCGCCGATTTTACAGCTGGATTTCTAGTGGTTCTACTAAAAGTATGGATTTTTGCTAATGCATGCTTCTTTCGACGATAAGTGTTGATTAATAAAGGCATATTTTATTAGCGGCACAAAAAATTCTGAAATATTTCTTAGTTAAATCCTTATTATTATCAGGGGCTAATTAATGCAAGCATCTAAATTTAAATCACACAGTGTGTCTGGGCTGCCGATACGTTTCCGCGATTATTTTAAAGAAATTTTATCACTGCACAAAAAACCATAAAATAGCAGTAGCCTACGTCACAAGCGAAGGAGCGCCGAGTACAGCTCTGCAGTTATTCTGTACTGGGAAATCCAAAACAGGAAAATTTACGAATTTGTAAATGGGAACCTAAGAAAGGGGACCCAACTAGGTGATGAGGAATTGCAAAAACAGAATGTTTCGGGAGTATTTCTTTTCCAGAAATATTTTAGCCCCCATTTTCCGACCCAATTTTTGATATATTCCATTTTGAAAGATTGAATGTTAGGCCATACGATGTTATAAAATTTCAAAACATTAAGCATAGCTTATTGTCTTCATTGTGCTTATCGTGCTTTTGAACAATTTAAACATAATTTGTGATAAATTATGCACTCCTTCCACTAGTTAATGTCAATTGGTTATCACACCTTAAAATAATCCCTGTTTTGTTTGTTCACGAAAACATATTATACAAAATGTCTGCTCTGGAGAGAAATTGTTTTGTTTTCTCGAGGGGCAACAAAACAACATTCGTAAAACAATCGTATTTCATGACAAAAACTTTATAGTGTTATAGAGTTCAAAGTTAGAAGAACCATGAAAATACAGTATAATTAAACGTTTTCAGAAGCATATCCTGTTGCGTATTTTTCTTCTCTTTTACGTTCCTTATTTTAACACAAACTTAGAAAATCGTAGTTTATAAACTATAGCGAGCTGGGTGGTATAGCAATCACTGTATTTAAAATGCTATAAGTATATAAACTACATACACATATGCATGACTATACACAATTTACAATAGTAGACTGTGTGTAAATTAATTCGATTGATGAACATCCCAAAATGTACAATGATAAACATTACATAATTGTATCATGTCTACTATTTTACCGCTGTCTTTCAACCAACATTATTACAGTACTCTTTAAGATGTTCCCAATGTAGAAAGGCAACATGGTTTTTAGTATTGATGAATATTTTTCTGATATTGTTGTATACATATTGCATATCTGTGCCAAATATATTCATGCACTTATCAGTGGTGATTCTCAAGGTGATGACAACCCTATAAGGAGACTTAATGTTGATGATGCAACATTGGTTGAAAATCTTACAAGATTTAGGGGATATTTACATGAAAGTTAGTAGCTTGGCTCAAATTGCAAGCTCCAGTGTGATTATATTTCCAATTACATTTGAATTTATATGGCATGAGCTGGCATACCTTGCTGCAGTGCTATTTGGATCTTGCTTTGCATTGCCTGAATCAATTGGGCAATTACACTGAGTAATAAAGACAATTACCTGCATCAGCTTGCATTCTCGCCTTTGTTATACAGTAATAACAATTATAACCCATGCACAATCACAGTATCAGTCATGATAATATGATGGTATATGTGGGTTATAATTGTGAAATTTGCTCACAAATGTAGGATAGTTCGGCAAATATATTTAAATTATAGATTTATAGTGCTTGCTCAGTGCCTATATATGGTTTATATGGGCATGCCTATTAGAAATCTTTTAAACCTGTGATCATGCTCTGTATTGCATACAGAGCCGAATACAAGTCTTGATCCACTCATGCTCGCTTTCCACCCACACTACATGTAGTTTTATATTTTATACCCAATCAAACGTCCCAGAAGAACAACAAGCTAACTGAATTGCTGTATAGTTACAACCACTAAATATATCATTATCTAATTGGCATTAACCAATACAATAGTCAATCAGAGCTACAACTGTACAGGACATGAAGTTGCGTCAGGCTACATTTTTCTTTGCTGTCTGCTGCGAGACAAATAAACCAAATAAAGGTCTGAGCACGTGAGGTTATAATCTCGTGTAAACCGAGATTAAATTTGTCCAAGTAAAGCAAGCTGCCTAGTTTGGTACTGTACACCAAACCCAGAGAAATTAGAAACCTCTGTTAATATCAAACTACCTCCCCTCCAAACATCATCTATACTGATCTTCGAGGAAACACAGTATGGCAATTGGCAACAAAAGTGCTTGGCACGAGCTCTAATTATATTGTTATTAAATACAAATCCGCACTAACTGTTAAGACCATTTTCGAATTTATAAATCCTTGTAAATTATACACTACAATGTAAAAATAATGAGGAATTTCACTTACTTTAGAGCCCTTCACAGTATAAATATTTCGAGCATTTCACAGTGTAAATATTTTTGGTATTCAGTTGAAACACTCCATCCTTTATTGCCTATTTAGATGCATTTCAAGCCATGCACTTTCCACTGTACCGACATTATTCGTTCTTCGTCAATTTGGAGGGATTTCCAGTCCGCAAAGGATTCGAATAAACATTCAAGCCATGTCTTAAGTCGAATGACTGGTTACGACACGGTAGATTTGATTTTGCAATGTTGCAAAATTTTGCCTCATTTCAGTAATTCTGCAATGTTGCATATTTTTGCATTAGTGGACAGCGGCTATATCTACCGTGACTCAAGGCTTTAATTTAAAACAACAGATTTGATGATGTCACGATAGAATTCACGCGGGAAAAGGACTCGAGATCGCATCGATTTACAGATGCAAAATGGATGCAAATCAAATCTACTGTGACGTAGTGATGCATTTTGCGTCTTCTGTTCATGCGGTAAAAAAATAACATATTCTCTCGCGAAATTACTGACGCTTAAGTGTTGCAAAATAACAGAAAGTACACATTTCCGATCGCACGATTAAACTTATTTTGAAACTTTCGACTGCTATTGAGACTACTTAAATTGGATTTCATCCTAGATGGGTATATTCCTGACAATGAATCAATTTTAAGCAAAGGGTTGATAGGAGATATTTTAATTATAGCTAGTGCTTGACTATTGGCGACACTATATAATATTTCAAGAAATATATGATTTCTCAATTTTGACTGATCCATCGGTGTGCCGCCATTTTGTTTAATTATGTACGTAGCCGGTCGGTTCGGGCAACATTTTCACTTGTTACCCAGCGGGATACATTGCATCTATCACAAAAAATGGAGGCAATGTCGATATACGTCAAAATGGCTATGAAAGAAATTCTCGTATTATTGGTATTCCAGTGCTGAATTGCCCTTGATTGCAAGACAGTTCAAGATAATCAAGTAAAACCACAGGAATCCCCTATTTAAAAGATATGTTGACGTAAAACAAACGATTTACATATCACGCTTATTCTCATCTTTCGTCCACGGATCACGGTTAAATCGAAACATTTCCAAGTGCAGGTGAAAATGAATTGAAACCACTCAATCAGGGAATCACACGTTAGGATGATCAGCAATCGTATTGCACGGCTGAGTAAACTAAGTGGGGGGTGAGCTCATTAATTTTATTTAAACAAAGCATAGCTATTGAACTGTACTTTTCTGTTTCATTTCAGCTATTTTTGAGTTTAAATCGCGTGATAGTCTAGCTTAATTTGACTCATTCATTGAACAGAGGTTGACTAAAAAAACAAAGAACCAAAATGGCTGTCAACGCATCTTAATTAATGAGTTCTCCAAGTATTATAAAAGCCAATACATATTGCTATTAGTAGTGATAGACCCCACTCTGGCGGAATTTATAATAAGCTTGCAAAATCTATGACGTCACCACCGTCATCGGTTCTAGCGGCGGAAGTAATTAGTATGCAACGTCACAATAGCTTCGCGTTACCAAGTTGCGTTACCATTAGGTTGCGTTACCATTAGGTTGCGTTACCATTAGGTTGCGTTACCATTAGGTTGCGTTACCATTAGGTTGCGTTACCATTAGGTTGTGTTACCATTAGGTTGCGTTACCTGTCACAGAACTCAATGATGTAACTCAAGGCCGAAACAGTCATTAAGCAGAACTCAGCATTTTCATTACAAAAGACAATACTTGTTATATGATTCGTTTGAGAATCATTTTGCTGTGAAAGCCATACGATGGAGTGTCTGCATGGAAAAGCCCCATTTTACAATTTATTGGAAGGAATATATGCGAATGCAGCCGCACTTGTGTGGAATCCTGTAATGGTTGTCAAATCGGTCATCCTAGTCAAGGGCAACATGACTACCTCGTAACGAAAGGAAACGAACGATGGCAGATGTATGGTTTACAAGCAATCGAACAAGTGAATTCTAAGCGTATGGTCAGGGCTGTTCTTAGACGCGATAATTTTTGGGGGTATATTCTAATATTCATGTTCACACACCGTAAAAACAATCGCTTTCAAAAGAAGACCCGCTCGAGTCAGCAGCTGAAACGTTTTTCTCTTGCTCACCTGGTTGCATGTATTTTGTGAAGGCGACTGGCGAACGACTTAGACTTTTTGAGGAATGCTTATCAAGATTTCTTGGAGAAAAAACTTGTAGAACAATTTAACAAACTAATAGACGTATAGCATATCTCGCAAGGCTTTTGAAAATACCTCCGATCCCATATCCACTCTGCGTACGTGCACCACGTGCATTTCCACCATGTTGCTGTCTCAAGCAATGGTCTTTCAATAGTTGCGTGTCTTCCACAAGTGCGTTTCGTTGCAACTGTTGCAAATTGTGTCAGCATCATCATCAGATCGTGCATCCTGACGCGACCACTTGTGGGCTACACAGTGAGGACACGTCCATTTAAGATTAGGCTTTATCGATTTCCAATTCTGCAAGACCTTTTATAAATATGTTCAATCCAGTCGGTACGGGAATATCTGGATAATAAGGCGTCACACAATTTTTCAGAAGGTCTACAATGTCAGTTCCTCGCATATTATGTCATCTGTAAACGATCTCTCCTTTTCCATTCCAAGTCAAAATCTCCGTAGACGTTAAAATAGAATAAAGGATTTCTTTGGCTTTGTGTTCAGCATCAACGTCAAGATATTTAAGAATGTCTTAAAGTCTCCACTGTTCAGGGGATGATTGTTTGTCGCTATCCATGATTAGAATGAAGAGATGTCCTTAATGCTAATTATTTTGTACTAATTTTACAAGGCCTTCTAAAAGTGGTCCAAGTACCAATCCCAGAAAGCCACTTTCCCGCTGAACAAGAATTTCCTTTTTCGTTCTAAAACTTGTGCTAAATCAGCTTGATCTTGTTTGAAAGATCTGCGTTTGTCCTTCGTTTCTTTAGAGTATGTGAAATTTTCTATACAATGACACAAGCATCGAGTTTGCCCAGCTGATTCAGAATTAAGAAGAGCTTCCTGTTGAGTTGGCCGAGAAATACATAAGAGCTCTGCAAAAATCTAGACCTGTGCACATCAAAGTACGTCATCTCTATTTCAGAGTTGGAGCCTAAATGGTTCATTTATTTGAAAAACACGACTTTAAAACCTTTTTGCGAATATAGATCGAATCATTAAATCGTTGAATCCTAAGATTGAATCTTTGAATCCTAGGCTATAGTCATGACTATGGTCTTAATAGTGATGACTATTTAACAATTAGACAACGAAGCCGAGTTGTCTATGAGCGAATAGTCAACGAGGCGAAGCCGAGTTGACTATTCGTTCAGAGACAACGAGGCTGAGTTGTCTAATTGTTTTAGTATAAACCACATAAAGAAAACGGAATTTTTCACTTGATTTATATGTAAAATAATAACGTTTTAACGAAATGAGAGTTTAAATGGCTTCCTTTGCCGACATTTCGCCTCGGCCTTGTTGAAAACTACTCAGTGTTGCTAACTCTCAAGAATAACTTGAAAAATACAACTTGTGAGTTTTAAAAAAGTTAAAAAACATGTCGTAAAACAGTATAATAGTAAGAGACCGTTATAGAAGCAAAGTTTGGTTAATTAAAACTTATTTAAAAGAAGGAAACAAGGCTTAAAAAGTCCAAAATTTCGAACACAAAATCGCCTTCCCGAATTGTTACTAAATTAGTAAATAAAGTTTACGTTAAGAAGCCGAATAAAAATGCACACACATGCAAAAGAATCCGATTATCCGAATGTCGTTGAAATCTTTAAAATATCTGGAACATAAAGAGGCAAACCATTTCCATAATCTAGTATACATAGACAATAGTTTAGATTAATATTTAATCGAAAAACTCGACTTAAAAAGGCACGAAAAGCCGAAAAACAAACTCGGCCAAAATCTCAACATTTAAACGAAAAAAACTCTTTAAAATGACAGCTAAGTACATGAACTCGTACTTAAAACAAGAACACACTAAAGAGGTTGAGAAAATAGGGGTAAATAGCTACAAAGTATTGTTGTATTTCAACAATTCTGCTTGGAATATTAACAAACATTGTGCATATATTTTAAAAAAATCGCCTGTCACTTTCACGTTCAAAACTACGAGCAAAGTTGAGAAAACTTAAAAATTTTACCGCATGTGTCAGCAGTTTCCAACAGTCTTTGTTTGTGTGTAATCCAGAACAAAAATTAGGCCATTTTGATAAGCTTTTTCCCTTTAAATGCAGCTTTTAATACTTAAAAACGGCCATTGACTCTCGCGCCCTTCGCCGCTTGTTGCTACTATAGTAGGCTATCACTAATAGCCTACTAGTAGCGTAGCCAATCAGAACGCACGATACATGATAACCTACTAGTAGGTTTATACTAAAGTTTTAATAGTCATGACTATAGCCTTATAGCCATGACTATAGTCTTAATAGTCATGACTATAGCCCTGATAGTCATGACTATAGGCTTAATATTCATGACTATCATCCAGGTATTCCCGCATCGACTGGATTATGCATATTTATAAAAGGTCTTGCAGAATTGGAAATCGATAAAAGCCTAATCGTAAATGGACGTGTCCTCACTGTGTTAGCCCAGAAGTGGTCGCGTCAGGATGCACAATCTGAAGATGCTGCTGACACAACTTGCAACAGTTGTAACAAAAATATGTACATCTCCCATTAGTTGAGTACATGCCCTGTATGTGCATGGGCAGATTTTTACCCGAATTGTAGAAGGTGTCACTGTGTGATCTGTTATTTTCCAGTGTCCAAAGGCGATTTTACGCGTGTAATCACCAGCTGTCCACATTGTAGCCGAGATGAAATTATGGATGTCAGAACGGAAAGACAGTTTTTTGACCATAAAATAGGTGAACAAAGTGATATTTGATCAGTTGACTGTGCAAAGTTAAACTGAACACATCAATATGCCGAAAGGTACACTTGTTGTAGACGCAAAATTATTGAAAGACCATTGCTTGAGATAGCAACATGGTGGAAATGTCGCTGGGTTTTGTGGTGCACGGTCAAGCTGTACTCCAAGGAAAAAGCGTAAGAGAATCTGTAAAGATTCACGGAGGAGAGTTTGCTAAAGACTTTGCCGAACAAGGAGCAAAGGCCCTACTACATCAAACAGGGTGTGGAAGCAAGAAAAGGCAATGCCAACGTAGTAATTTATCACCAAAGATGCTAAAACTGTGTTCTCATCAAGCAGTCTCAAGACGTACCATATGGCTTACGGAAGATGAAAGCAGCCAGGACGATGAATTGGATAGAGAAACATCTCAAACAAGTGACGATATATATAGAAGCATAACTTTATAAAACGTGTTGAAGAAGTAAATGTGTTTTAAGGTTACAGAACACCTTTGAGGATTAATTTTGACAAAAAAATTTTTATTGGTTTCCATGAAAGCATTAGACTAGTTCTACTATCTGACCAAGTTTGAACGAAAAATGTTGAAAACTCGCAGAGTTCTTTAATAAAATACATTTCGCTGCGATAAGAAAAACATTGAAAATGTAATATTCAAATTCAATTTTCTCCCGAAGAATTTTACGGTAGTTACTGATATTCAAACGAGTTGTGCTCCTGCGGGTTTTGACCAATTTTTCTCAAATTTTCACAGGACATAGCTAAAGACGTCAGTTTCAAAATGGTGTGCGGCTTTTTTTAAATTTTGGATATTTTAATAATAAAGAACAATTCACTCAAACAATTCTGAAATATATTGCAGTCGTCAAAGAAATCGCCATATCAGCGGAATAACGAAATAAACAAAAAAATTCCGAACACAATTTTTTAGAACAACTATTTTACTGTATAAAAATGATATTTTCATAAATATAACTTAAAACCAGCAGGAGCACAACTCAAAAGCGTAACGGTACCGCGATTTAAGATGTTCCTGATTAATTCTTATATTATTTTATTGTTTGTTAATTTTATAACTTTACCATATTTTGCATCACTGGCGAACATTTGGTGAAAATTTGATTCAAATCGGACTGATATTGAGCGCGCAGTAGCGATTTTCCGCAAAACGCCAAAAAAGGTGTCCTGTAACCTTAAATCTAAATTCTTAGCTTGTGGAAATATTTTCCCGCAAAGCCACGCGCCCGATTGAAAGGTCTACATCCGCGTAATAAATTTATAAATATTAACTGTTCGCCTGAACATGCCCACGGTCGCCCGCAATAATATCCATTTATATCCATTAGGATCCTATTGGTTATGCAAATTCGTATTGCCTTAATCCCTTAATTACCTCAACCTTTGTATACTTATCGCCTAATGACGTAGCAGCACATAACAGCACAACGCAGTATCTTATGAACATATATTTATTATTTTAAGCCAAAAAATATTACAACTAAGACTGTTTGTTAAATCGTTCTACAAGTTTTTTCTCCAAGAAATTTTGATAAGCATTCCTCAAAACTTCTAAATCGTTCACCCGTCGCCTTCACAGAATACATGTAACTAGGTGGGCATGAGAAAAATGTTTCAACTGCTGACTCGAGCGGGTCGCCCAATCTCTAATGAAACAAATAGTTCAGTATAAATTGTAGTTCGTGGTTCTCAGTGTTTTGATGTAGTTCCATCAATAAATCGACAAACGTAGAATCTGGATCTTTTTCCAGTTGCTGTAAATGTGCGAATACATCTCTGTCAACCCTCAGTTTTAGTACCCTCAATGCCTCAGCGAATTCACTCCAAACCATACGCTTAGCATTCACTCGTTCGATCACTTGTAAACCATACATCTGCCATCGTTCGTTTCCGTTCATTACGACTTACGAGGCAGTTATGTTGCTCTTGACTAAGAATTGACAACCATTACAGGATTCCACACAAAGTCTTTGAACGTCATTTGCGACTAATCCTTCCAATAAACTGTAAGATGCGGCTTGTCCATGCAGACACTCCATCGTATGACTTTCACAGCGAAATGATTCTCTAACGAATTTATACACATATATAACAAGCGTCGTCTTTTGTAATGAAAATGCTGAGTTCTGCTTAATAAGAGGGTCAACCCAAAAATTGATTGAAAAGTGAAAAAAAAAATTTTGTGCTAAAACAGAGGTTTAGACCTTTGTTCAGCTATTGCAGATTGATTTACGTGTATTTTCTAAATTTTTCTATGTTTTTGAGCCGTTTTTACCAACCGCATGTATATTTCTCTTTCGTTGCCATGGAAACTGAAGAGCATTTTTTTAAAATTTTGGCCGCTCCTTTGTTAAAAATCTACTGCTTTGTTCAAAATTGAGAAGAAACTACAAGTAAGGCCTGCTGGCTTTGTGTTCAGCAGTGTTCAACACAAAAATTGCATTATGGGACACGAAAGCACGCTTTCACGAGCACGTTCACTGATGCCAGTTGATTTCAGAAGAAATTTTCCTAGTTCAGTAAGCTTTTCAATGCGTAATTGTTGGTTAAATGGTTGGGAAAACGAAAAGAAGCGTTTATCGAAAGTCAAGGAAAGGTCGTGGCGTTAGTAATGTATGAAAACAAGAGCGTGAAATGCCAGAATCTTCATCAACTGTTAGCGAAGATGTCGGCCATGTTGGGAACGTTAATACTGTACAATTGCCTATGTAAAAATACTAATGAATCTGCCAGTGATTCTGATGAAATATCGACACCCACAAGTGCTTCAAGAACAAAACTAAGCCAGCATATGCTCAAGAGTGTGCTGAAAGCGAAGGAATAGCCATTTGACCATCCCAATACAGACTTGTTGATAACTGGACGACTGTCATCTGCTCTTTCTGACATCCACAGATGTGAACAAGGTAGGCACTGTGACTTGTTATTATTAAATGTCACTGAATTAATTTCAAATCACTTCAGGCTTTTGTAATGTAGATAACACTGCTAAATATCTTTGTAGCCCATAATAATATTCAGCATGTTTTTGTGATAAGCTTTAATTAGTACCAATGTACCATTAGAATAAGCTTTTGTATCCATTAATTGTAACACTTCGATATAGGACATTTGAGGCTTGACGAAGGAGAAGATAGAAGACGGGTTAATGTCAAGGTTGAGAGTCGAATCCAGCACATGCGACAATGTAGAGGTGTTGGATACATCTACCAGTGTATCACAAAGAAGAACATCTTTCGACATTAATCGACGACTTGCGTTCAGCTCTATGGAAACGGGTGGCGGCTGCGGAGGTCTGGCTACACTGTGTACCATTATGAACATGCCATGTATGTCAAAAACTGCATATTATAAACAATTATCTGAACCATTCTCCTAGTCGTAGAAAGAGAATGTCTGAGTGAACTGAAAAGAGTGGGTGAAAAGGTTCCTAAACCTGATTTTTGAGCAACAGCGAAAGAGAAAAAGAGGCGTCAAGGGGAGAACTTATGTTGTACTAGAAGGGAGGAAGCATTGAAGGATGCTGAAGGTACCACATATGAAGCTGGTGCCTTCTAATTACCTTCAACAAAACTTTGATTTTGAACTTATGTATATAGACCATACATTTACTCATTGTAAACAATCCTCAAACGTTAAAGCCGTTTTCTCAAAATTGCACATTTTACCCTTTGAGAAAGGATATCTCTAGAACGATTTAACCAATTGACATGAAATTTTCAGGATTTATGTATCTTACCATTTTCTTGGGGATGAACAGAGGATTTTTAAATATATATTTTATAACATGAATTATTGCATAAACATATCAAGCAAATTTGTATGGTATATTTAAAACCTCGTAATCCGCTTAGTTTTCAAAATTTTCAAAAATCCTCTGTTCATCCCCAAGAGAATGGCAAGATACATATATCCTGAAAATTTCATGTCAATTGGTTAAATCATTCCAGAGATATCTTTACTCAAGCTCAGTCTATCGCGAAACAGCATGTTGCCACTTTAACTGCCTGGTTGCCAATAGCAACGCAGTTTTGGTGTCCAAAAATATATTTTTTAGAATCGTGAGTTCATTAGCTATCTGATGATATATAGTTTGCCAGAGGTTTATTGTAAAGTGTCCAGTGTGCAGCCTTTGTTCTGTGAGCCTTAGTTTTGGGTTGACCCTCCCCTTAGTTAATGACTGTTTCGGCCTTGAGTTACGTCATTGATTGCTGTGACAGGTGACGTAACCATGTAATGCAACCTAATGGTAATGCAAATTGGTAACGTGACGCTATTGTGACGTTGCATACTAATTATTTCGCCGCTAGAGCCGATGCTCTTGTTAAAACAATAACTTAATCATAATACCATAGATATCTTATATACACTAGATAGCGCATCTCTTTTAGTAAAGTTGAAGCCAAGAATATTCCAGCGGTTACCCCCATTCGAATAGATGACAGCCATGTTGGTCGTTCCCACTTGCTAATAAACGCTTAAAAACAACAATAACTTTCATCATTTGGAATAGGGTTAACTTAATGTTTAAGTTCCCTGTTTAAGAAATAGGAAACATACGAATCTTCTAATTTCATGGGAACGACCTGAGACTGCAATCACGGCTTCAATTTTTGAATTGTAGAATGATTAGATGATTTGAAAAATAAAATCCTTTTCAGCCTTGATGTAGTTTCTTTATACCCGAGCCTCGACAACAGAGCAGCCGTTGATACCCTTCGCGATTACCTGTACCAGCACAGAAGAGACCTACAGTTGTATGGCATTCCTATTCCAGATATATTGTGCCACTGACCAAGATTGTGTTAAGCAACTGTTGTTTTTCCTGGAGTGGTACATACTTCAAGAAACTACGAGGATTGGCAATGGGGAACCGGTTGGCACCTATACTGGCCATCCTTTACATGGACAGAATAGAAAATCAAGTTATATATGCAGATACGAGTCTCTCCACCAAACCCTACCACCGGTATATCGACGATTGCATTACAACAGCACAGGATAACAACGAAGCGAGATCGATACAGGGAATCCAGAATGCACAAATTCGAGATCGAGTTGCCGGACGAAGAGGGCTACCTACCATTTCTCAACACCAAAGTCCGAGTAAATTCCGATGGCACTTTGGACACGGCATGGTACACGAAACAAGCAAATAAAGGAATAATGATTCATGCATCATCTCACCATCCGAAATTAATGAAGGTTGGAGCTATTCAACACACACTTAAACGATTTCGCTGATTTCGTCCGATAATCATCTTAAAGCAACAGCTGAGAGCGAATTCAGAAATGCAGCAGAAACCATCACAACTGGCAACCTAAGGACACGCAAAACAAAGAAATCATCAAATACACCAAATCCAGATGCTTGGTAATCCCGTTCATTTCGGAAGAATTTACCGCGGACGTCAGAAGAACTATTAAGAAAAAAGGCTTAATTATCAGAGTCATACAGCGCCTGGGAAAGTCCCTTAGAAGCATGCTTGTCCAATCCCGTCCGTATGATAGTCATTGCCGAGCTGGTCCGAAATGTAAGTTTTGTCAAGTTTGCGACAAGAAGAATATGTGCTTCCGGAAGTATTTGGTCTACTCCATAAAGTGCGGTTTATGTGACAAGAACCATGGAATTTACGTGGGGGAAACCAGCCGACCATTCGCTGTGAGGTTCAATGAACATCTTCGCTCTGCAAAGAATCCCGATGCGAAATCTTACCAACACATGGCATTCTCGAAGCATTACAAACAGTTACACCTGGGTCAGTCGCCTTATAAGCTTATTCCATCTATGTTGAAGAAAACGAAAGGAGCATTGGAAAGAAAGATCACGGAGGCATTTTACATTAAAAGAATGCAACCTGACCTGAACTCAAAGGATGAGCTGCAGAAAGTTAAGGGATTAATTTTGTATATAGTTTAATTTAATTACAAACGCAGGCACGGACACGAAATCTTTAACGCTCTCACGGACACGCAATGAACAAAATTTAAGCGCGCGCACGGACACGAGTTAGTTTGAAGCGGACGTCAGCTATTATACGCAATCCTAACGGATTTTGTCTAAATTTGTAATTGTTTTTAAAGTTTTATCATAGGCTGCCCAAAAATCCGTGTTAAAATTTTTACCCTCGCGCATGGCGCTCGGGCATGCATCGAGTCTACTCAGTTTATTATTATTATTGTCATAATAATAAACTGAGTAGACTCGATGCATGCTCGAGCGCCATACGCGAGGGTAAAAATTTCAACACGCATTTTTGGGCAGCTTATGGTTTTATATCTTTAGTTACTTTTAACCTGAAGATGGAGTTATACTCCGAAACGTACTGTTATTAAAATAATCTTTTTGTACTAAGCCTATATGGTCTAATTATTCAAACACAGAATTACTAAAACGAGGCTTAGAGAAAGTTCCGTCATACAAGATTTGAATCTCGATACAGTTGGCGTCTTGGCGATATTTCGAAAATCAAAAGATCTCGCTATTTCGTTCCAATTCCACATCTCATCAATAAATAAATTATTTTGGTCCGAATATCAGGATATACTTTAATACTAACAATTAAATAAATATAAACCACATTGGTCGGTCTAGAGATATGAATTTTCTTGTAGGCTTACTGCCACGCCGCCCAGGCGTGCTTTTTTTGGCAAGTCTATAAGTCGAAATCTGATCTAACTTGCTTGAATTGTAACTTGACACTAGATTATAGAGCAGAGATTCACATCACGAGAAATATTAATTTTTAATTGCAGTTCTCTTCACGATTTCTTGTTGCAAATATAAATTTCATCACACAAAATTGCAAATATTGTTACAAACGCGACAAACACGCTACTCTCCCACCCTACCCATAGTATTATTTTAATTTATCACCCAGAATCTGGGTGACACGTGACCAGCCGAAACCAGGGTCTTTCCTTCGCCTCGCGCCGTTCTAAGAAAGACCCTGGGAACGAGGTTGGCTGAAGTACTTGGTTGATTTCTTGAATTAGATACTTCTATATTTTCTACAGCAGGGCATAAACGATTTCGTGCATTGAGCCGAGCCCCAAAAGGGCGACGAAAAATGCGAGAAACGAGTAAAATGCTCGGCATGATTATATGTAAAACCATGCAATAGGACTTTTATTATATGACAAACCTGAAAAATAGATTTATTTATGTACGTAATAGTCGGCTCATGCCATGCTTGTGGTACTTTTTCGTTTATTAACCCATACACTTGTACGCACGCGCACAATTCCGAACTCCAAGGGTAGAGTTCTCCAGTGACATATTCAGTCCAGTTTCAAAATGACGGTTTTTCACTGAGTCATCAGAATATTTTTCAGACAGTTTTGTTGAATTTTCAAAGAATTGTGCCGGTTTCCTATGGATTTTACGTTGTGTCGTACTCT